GGGGGAGGGGACGGGGGGGGGTCCCAGCCCCCACCCCAGCGACCCAAAATAATTTTGGCGACGGGTCCTGGCGCGGGGGGAGGGGACGAGGTGTGGGGGGGGGAGGGGACACGAGGGACGGTCCCCAGGCGTCCGGGCTGGGGGAGGGGGGGCCACCAGCCCCCCCCCAATTACCTTAGAGACTCGTTACGAGTTAAATTAGCACGAGCGGCCCCGGGGGGCGGCGGGGGCGGCCGGGCCGGGGGGCGCTGGCCGGGCCGGGGTGACAATGACAATATGCCATACTGGGGGCAAGTCGCGTCACAGACTTAGTTCAGAACGACGGGGCGCGCTGGCTTCCGGCTGCGGGGGACAGAGAGAGGGACACGTCAGGGACACCCCGAAATGCCCCCAAAAACCGCGCCTGAAACACCCCAAAAATCGCTCCAAAAAAAAAACCCAAAAAACACTTCAAAACCTGCCCCAAAACCCCGCAAAAACCATTTTAAAAACCACCAAAATCACCCTAAAACCTCACAAAAACCCTTCCAAAACCCCCCAAGAAACGTGCCAAAAACCGCCCCAAAAACCAACGAAAAAAAAACCCCAAAACTGCCCCAAAACCCACCTCAAAAACCCTCCAAAAAACTGCCCCAAAACCACTTTGAAAACCGCCCTAAAACCCCCCCAAAACCACCCTGGAAACCACCTCAGAAAGCCTCCAAAAACCACTTCAAAAACCCTCCAAAACCCGCCAGAATAAAACCCAAAACCCCTGAAAAGTTGCCCCAAAAACCACCCCTAAAACCCCCCAAAAACCACCGAAAAAAACCCCCAAAACCCGCCAGAATAAAACCCAAAAGCCCCGAAAAGCCGCCCCAAAACCCACCCAAAACCCGCCCCAAAAGCCCCGGAGACTCCGGGACCACCCAGCACCCATCCAAGCCCCCGGGACCCCCGGGACCCCCGGGACCCCCCCAAGCCCCCGGGACCCCCGGGACCCCTCCAAGCCCCCCAAGCCCCCCGGGACCCCCGCTCGGCGCCCACCTTTGCGGAAGGCGTCCTGGAGGCGGCTCTGGGGGAGTTGATACAACTCAT